AATATCCATCATATCATAGATAAATTTTCACAAATGCCTAGGGTGCCTAAATGGTTTTCTTGGCTTCACTGGAGATGGCTGGTAATTATAGATTTGCTTTGTTTATGTCACCGTATTCCTATTATGTTAATATGTGTGTGCAAATTAGTTAGTAGTTTAAAACCTATACATACTTAAGGTACTATACAAGAAGATATGTCAAAGAAATAATCAATCCTCCCAAGTTTCCTTCATATGCTACATCTATAGCTTTTCTTCTTCCTTCCTAATTACAAACCTTAAATAGAATTTGTGCCTCATATCGAATTTACCGAGTATCATAATTCTTCCAAGTGGTAAAGATACCTCAAGAGAAATGCTGGACATAGAAGCCACAGGGCATAAATCTGAAAAGAAGTAAAAAGCTAACCTTTTCAAACAATATGGCTTCTCTCTCACTTACCAACTTTACATTTCCCTGTATGGCCCCAGACGATGACTGGTTAGCCAGAGACAGGTAAGATTCCTCAAGGGAGGAACAACCTAAGACAGGCACAGTTGCAGGGGAGCCATCAGGTGAGAAATTGTGGAACAACAGAGGTGAGGCTTAGAACCTCACTCCCCCTGTTTTGAGAGAAATCTTCTGCATCCGTAGATGTTTTATTGCCCTTGTCTAGCTTGGATTAACAGTTAGTCTACAGGCACACACCTGATCATCTACATTTGCTCTCTTATAACATTAAACTATGTTTTCTACCTTTATCTTGCATCTACCTACCACTTCAGCATTTTTTTAAAAATAATGATAATAATAATTATAAGGGAGAAATATGGGATTCACATATAAATCAAGTATATAAATCAAATGAAAAAAAAAGAGAAGCATGAAAAACCATGGAAACACGACAACACATTTCAATGCACAACAATTTTCCAATAACTGGCCCCAAAGAAATGCAGTTCTATGAATTGCCTGACAAAGAATTCAAAATAATTAGCAAGTTACAAGAGAACACAATGAAATCAGGAAAACAATACAGAACAAAATGGGAAGTTCAGCAGAGATGCAAAATTCATAAAAAAAGAAGGAATAGAAATTCTAGAGCTGAAGAATAAAATTAATGAAGTGAAAAAATGCAGTAGAGAACATCCATAGCAGACTTGATCAAGCAGAAATAAGAATCTATGATCTTTAATACAGGTCATTTGAAATTATCCATTTAGAGGGAATTAAAAAAATGAAAGAGAGGAAAGGAAGTGTATATAAATTATAGGATACCATAAAACAAAATAATATTAGCATTATAGGAAGCTTGGATGGAGAAGAGAAAGGAGCAGAAAGATAAATTAAAGAAATAATGACTGAAAACTTCCTGAGTCTGGGGAGGGATGTGGATACCCAGGAAAATCTCATAAGTCCCCAGACAGATTCAACCCAGAGGACTTCATTGAGACACATTATAATAAATATAAAGCTGTCAAAAATCAGAGAGAATTTTGAAAGCAGAAAAGAAAAGAAACTCATCACATATAATGGAGCCCAAATAAGGCTATCAGCAGATTTCTCTGCAGAAATTTTGCAGGCCAGGATATAGTAGGATGGTATATTAAAGTACTCAAGGGAAAAAAATGCCAAACAAGATAATTTTACCTAGCAAAGATGTTCTTCAATGAAGGAGAGATTAAGACTTTTTCAGACAAACAAAAGTTGAGCAAGTTCATCACCACTAGACCTGCCTTATAAGAAATGCTAAAGGTTTTTCTTCAAGCTGAAGTGAAAGGATGGTAATTAGTAACATGAAAACATGTGAAGTAAAAAACTTATGTTAGAGGTAAGTAAATAGTCAAGTTCAGAATACTCTAATACTGTAAGGGGGTGTACAAATTACTTGTCTCTAGTATAAAAGTTAAATGACAAAGGTGTTAAATGTAAGTATACTTAAAATAATTTCTTGGTGGCCATACAATAGAAAAACATGTAAATTGTGACATCAAAACATTAGCTGTTTGAGGAAAATAAAATGATAGAGGTTTTAATGCAATTAAAGTTGTTATCAGCTTCAGATAGACTTCTATAAGCTGTTCTACATAAGCCTTATGGTAACTGCAAAGTAAAAGCCAATTGAAACTAACAGTTACCAAAGGGAAAGGGACTGGGGAGGATGGGTGGGAAGGGAGGGATAAGGGGTAAAAAGGGCCATTATGATTAGCAGACAATGTGGGGAGGCACAGGGAGGGCTGTACAACACAGAGAAGACAAGTAGTGATTCTATAGCATCTTACTACACTGATAGACAGTGACTGTAATGGGGTATGTGGTGGGGACTTGATAATAGGGGGAGTCTAGTAATCATAATGTTGCTTATGTAATTGTAGATTAATGATACCAAAAAAAAAAACCAATTGGAGATACACAAAAGAGAAAGAGAAAGGAATCAAAGCATACCACTACAGAAAATTATCAGCTAACAAAGGAAAAGAGGAAGAAAGGAACAAAGAACTGCAAAAGAGCCAAAAAACAATGATCAAGATGGTAATAATAAGTTCTTAATTATCAATAACTATTTTAAATGTAAAAAGATTAAATCTCCACTCAAAAGTGGATATATTGATAAATAAGCATGACCCAAGAGATTAACATCAGCTTTAAGGACACACATAGGCTGAAAGTGAAGGGTGAGAAATAGATATTCAATTGAAAGGAAGCCAAAAGAGAGCAGGGACAGCTATACTTACATAAGAAAAATAGACTTCAAGTAAAAAAATTGTAAGAGACAAAGAAGATCATTATATAATGATAAAGGGATCAATTTATCAATATAGATGATATAACAATTGTAAATATACATGCACCCAACATTGGAGCACCTAAATATATTAAGCAAATACTAACAGATCTGAAGGCAGAAATGGACAACAATGAAATAATAGTGGGGTATTTAAATACCCAATTTTCATCGATAGCTAGATTATCCAGAAGGATAATCAAGAAGAAAGCATGGGACTTGAATTACACTTTATACAAGGTGTACCTAACAGATGTATTTAGAAAATTCCATTCACTAGCAGCAGAATATACATTTCTCTCAAGTACATTTAGAACATTCTCCACAATAAATCATATTTTAGGTCACAAAACAAGTCAACAAATTTAAGAAGACTGAAATCATATCAAGTATTTTTTCTGACCATAATTGAAAGATTTTTGACATTAGACTCTTTTTGAAACTTAGAAATCAATAACAAGAGAAAAGCTGGAAAATAACAAATATGTGGAAATTAAACAACATACTCATGAACAATTAATAAGCCAAAGAAGGAATCAAAGGGGAAATTTTGAAAAAATCTTGAGATAAATGAAAATGAAATTGTAGCATACCAAAACTTAGAGGATGTAGTAAAAGCAGTTCTAAAAGGGAAGTTTATAGTGATAAATCCTACAGTAAGAAAAAGGTCTTAAATAAACAATCTAACTTTGTACCTCAAGGGACTAGAAAAAGAACATACTAAGCCCAAAGTTAGCAGAAGAAAGGAAATAAATAGTAGAGCAGAAATCAATGAAATAGACTAGAAATGCAATTAAAAATATCAATGAAAGTAAGAGCTGGTTTTCCAAAAAGGTAAATATAATTGTCAAATCTTTAGCTCAACTAAGAAAAAAAAAAGAAGATCCTGAAATAAAATCAGAAATGAAAGAGGAGGTATTATAACTGACACCACAGAAATATAACAGATCATGAGAGATTACTATGAAAAATGACACAGCAACAAAATGGATAACCTAGAAGAAATAAGTAAATTCCTAAAAACATACAACTTACCATGAAGAAACAGAAAATCCAAACAGACTAATAACAAGTAAGGAGATTGAATCAGAAATAAAAAATCTCTCAATAAAGAAGAGCCCATATTTTGTGTCAGCCTCAGCCTATTGATAGTGATGCTATGGTCTAGAAATGTCTGTGGACACTCACCTGGGCCAGCACAATTGCGGAGATTACAAACAGACCTTTCCCTGGTCAGAACCAATGTTGTGGCCAGACTGGCCCTCGTGGTTATTATTATTGCAAGATGCACATGAGAAACAAATATCAGGCATCTTTGAAAAAAAAAACAAAGTTTGTGACTTACAAATCCTTGAGGGGACACAGTAGACCTGGGGCCACACGACAAGGTCACTGCAGGGGTGGGGGTGGAGAGAGAGGTGGAGAGAGCAGGCCTGGGCTTCTGCCTTTATTGGGGCTGAAAGTGGGTTTCCTGTGATTTCGCAGGTTCACTTATTTACTGTGAATTTCAAACTTAGCAGTGGGAATTAGAATGTAGGGAGGAGACAGAGGGTCACTCAAATGGCCAGCTATCTAGGTCAACTAGGGCTTTCCAAAGGGGGAACCTCATGGGTGGGTGGAAAAGCCTGGCTTTTTATCTAGTTGTGTATCTGGCAATGTGTTTATTTGAAATGGATGTCTTTGAAGTAGATGTCTTGGTGGTCTGAAGTGTAATACCAGACACATGACAATGAGAAAAGCTAATTGCCAGGTACTTACACTCCCTGCCAGAACCACATGGCTTCAGTGATGAACTCCACAAAACATTTAAAGAATTACCATGATCCTTCTCAAACTCTTCCAAGAAACTGACCATGCGGGAATACTTCCAAACTCACCACAGCATTCCCTTGTTGCCAAAGCTAGAGAAGGATACTAAAAGAAAAGAAAACTACAGGCCAATATCCCTTGTCAATGCAGATGCAAAATTCTCAACAAAATGCTATTTTAAACTGCACATTAAAAGGATCATACACCACAGTCAAATCCATCTGGTCTAATGTGTAATTCAATGCTTCTATTTCTTTTTTTAATTTTCTTTCAGGATGATCTATCCATTGATGTAAATGGGGTCTTAAAGTACCCTGCTATTATTGTGTTGCTGTCAATTTCTCCCTTTAGGTCTGTTAGTATTAGTGGTATATATTTTGGTGCTCCTCTACTGGGTGCATACATGTTTGTGATTGTTATATCCCCTTGTTGGCCCTTTATTATCATGTAATGTCCTTCTTTGTCTCTTGTTACTTTCTTTGTCTTGAAGTCAATTTGTCCGATATTAGTGTAGCAACTCTAGCTCTTTTTTTTTCATTCTCTATTTGCATGACATATCTTTTTCCATCCTTTTAGTTTCAGTCTGTGTGTGTCTTTAGATCTGAAGTGAGTCTTTTGTAGACAGCAAAAAGATGGTTCTTGTTTTTTTATTTCTAAACCATTTAGTCAACATATTTCTTTTGATTGGAGCATTTAACCATTTATATTTAATGTAATTATTGATATGTATGCAGTTTTGTCATTTTGTTAAATGTTTGGTGGAAGTTTTTCTTGTTCTTCTCTGATCCTGTCTTCCTCTCTTGCTCTATTCTCTTATGTTTTTATAACTTTCTTTGCTATTATGGTTAGGTTCTCTTCTCTTTGTTTTTTTGTGTATCTACTGTAAGATTTTGGTTTGTGGGTGTTGTGGGGTTCTTATATGACATCCTATGAATACGACATCTTATATTCATGTCTTATGAATATAAAAACCTATAATAAACTGATGGCCACTTAAGTTCAAGCACAATCTAACAGCATTGCATTTCTTACTCCCCCTTCTCTATATTTGATGTATATAAAACCTTCATTTATACCTTTTTATTAAGCAATTCCCTTAACTAAGTTTTAGGTGTAATTGCTTTTGCTGCTTTTGTCTTTTTGACCTTCATACTAGCTTTAAAATAGTTGACATAATACCTCTGCTCTTTGTTTGCTTTACCAGGAAATTTTCCCCTTTCTTAAATTTCTTCCTTCTACTAGGGTCTTTTCCTCTTAAAGAAGTCCCCTTAACATTTCATGTAAGGCTGATTTAGTAGTTGTAAACTCTGATGCTTATCTGTGAAGCTCTTTATCTCTTCTTCAATTCTGAATGATAACCTTGCTGAATAGATTATTTTTGGTTGTAGGTTTTTTCCATTCAGCACTTTGAATATATCATGCTATTCCCTTCTGGCTTGCAGGGTTTCTGCAGAAAAATCCACTGGAAACCTTATAGGGTATCCCTTACATGTAACTCACTGCTTTTTCTGTTGCTGATTTTAAGATTTTGTCTTTGCCTTTGAACTTTGACATTTTGATTACAATGTGTCTTGCTGTGGACCTCCTTGGGTTTATCTTATCTGGAGGTCTCTGTGTTCCCTGGACCTGCAGATGTTTTCTTCCCCAGAATAGGGACGTTTTCAGCTATTATCTCTTCAAATAAATTTTCTACTCCCTTCTCATTCTCTTCTCCTCTTGACCCCTGTGATGAGGGTGTCAGTGTGTCTGATGTTGCCCTGGAGCTCGCCCACCCTGACCTCATTTCCTTTAAGTCTTCCTCCCTCCTGTCCAGCTTGAGTGATTCCTATCACTCTACCCTCCACATCACTGACCCATTCTTCCTCACCCTCCAGTTGGCTGTTCATTCCCTCTGGTGTATTTTTTACTTCATCTATTGAATTTTTCATCTCTTATTGGTTGGTTTTTAAGCTTTCTATCTCTGTTGAGGTCCACCTTGGGCTCTGTTAATGTTTTCTCAAGTCCAATGAATGTCTTTATCACAGCTTCAAATTCTTTATCAGGTAGATTGGTTAACGCTGTTTCATTTAGTTTCTTTTCTGGGCTTTTTTTCTTGTTCTGTCATTTGGAGCATATTCCTCTCTTTCCTCAGTTTGTGTGACTTTCTGTGCTTGGTTCTTTGAAGTAGTTGAAAGGACTCACTCTCCCAGTCTTCACTGGCCTTGTGTGGGAGAGTCCCCTGTGGGACTGCATGTGTGTGCCTCATGGTTTTCACAAGCTGGAGACCCAGTCAGTGTGAGACAGGCTTTTCCTAGTGCTGAGGCTCCCAGGGTGTGGTCCTGGCTGTGAAGCCTTCAGTCCCATTTGAGGAGCTCCTGGGTGGACACCTGTGGCTTTGTGTTGGCAATGAGAGGGTGGTGGGCCAGCATCAGGTTGGGTGTGCCCTCCAGGTAACTCCTGTTTTGGCCCCAGGTGAGTCCTCCTTACCTCCTCACCTATATGCCAGTGCATACTCTAGGCCACTGGGGATCATTCCAGAGAATTCCTGTATCAAGCACCCACCAGGTATCACTGCTGGCATGGAGTCAGGCTCTGTGCACATTCCCTCTTCATCCCTGCATGCTCTATGCTGCTCCTAGAAATTCCCATGTTCATGCCTGTTAGTCCCAGTGGCAGCTGGGATCAGGGACCATGTGTGTTCATATTCCCACAGCCCCTGTGGACTCTGACCTGCTCCAGAAAATTCCCACATCAGTGCCCACTGGGTCCCACTCATGATCAGGAGTCAGGCTCTGTACACAGGTTCCCTCATGGTGTGCTAAGGAGTTGCCTTGGCAGCACCAGCCTGAGGATTCATGCGCCCTCCCTATGATCCAGGGAACTTCCCAGTCCTTCTGTTGGGGATGGATGGGTGGGTAACAGTGGGCAGCAAGGAAGGATTGGTGGATCTCCTGCAGGTACCCCTGGGTATGGGCAAGTGTCAGGGGGCTGTGCAGACCAAGTCTGAGATTGGTGTGGGCACCCAGACCCTGCCCCTGGCCACACTGAGGTGTGAAGAAGACGTGCCAACAATGGCACTGGCCAGCTCCTCTGATCCTGGGTCACCTCCAACAGTTTCCTTGCTGAGCAGTGGGTGCTTAGTTCTGGAACTTAGGTTCTTTCACTTATGGTCTAGCTGCACTTAAAACCCCAGGCTCTTCTCCTGTGCCTCAGGGCAGGTGCCCACAGGCTGATCCCTCGGGGAGGCCCCAACCCCTCCCCGCTGCTGGTGGCTATTCTGGGGGAGGGGGCCCCATGTTTACAATGTCTTTGTCTCTCCTGCTGTTTGGGGTTTTTTAAATGTAATCTTCTGTCCTTCATTTACAGGAGGTGTTCACTTTGGTCTCCATTCTTCTTCCCGGTGAAATGCTCGGTATGTAGGTACAGATGCTGTGTGTAGGTAGGAGGTGATTCAGGCTCTCTCTACTCCACCATTTTCCCAGAATCCTCCCATTATCTTTTTTTCTTACCTATTTTAGGATCTTTTTGCAAACAAAAAACCCCCTATCTGTTATATGCATAACTAATTTTTTATAGATTTCCACTAGTTTTTAGACCTTGTTTTATCTGTATACATATGTACATATAGGGAGGGGGGATGTCTTTGAATTTTATGTAGTCAATTTACCAATCATTTCATCTTTTTGTTTTTTTTTTGTCTTTTCTTATATGTTAAAAAAATCAAAATCAAAATTAAGTGAATGATATTTGCGGTTATCCCTTCCCTTAACAGCAGAGGTCCCCCATCTGTGCCTCTCCTGGATTCTCCAAAGTTGGCTGTGGGAGGAGAATCTCCAGCTGGGGGAACAACTGACAAACAGAACAACCCTGTCCTTCAGTTCTGACTTCCTTACGGCCTCCCTGTCACTGTCCCCACCACACTGTCTCTTTGGGTTTCAGCCTCTCCAGCCCTGCTCTGCGGTCCAGTCCGGAAAGTTGGAAGCTCTGTCCCTCAGACTCTGCTTGGCCAGGGGGGCCACGCGACTTGGTTGTGGTGAGCGAGAAGGATCGGAAGCCCGTGTCCCTCTTCAGCTGCCTTGTTTGTTTCACCTAGAATGTGGGCACAGGATGGAGATGCAGTGGCTTTCGCTAAGGATAGCAAAAAATTGGGAAAAGTCTGGCTACCTTCTCTGGACTTCTTGTCATGTATAGGGTAGAAATTCCTTTGTTTATATGAGCTCATGTTTATCAGGCTTTCTGGAACTGGCAACCAAACAGGACTGTAAGTGATATGCAGGCACCCCAAGTTCCTCCTTTATACCTCTGGGTCAAGGGTAAACAAGTCCCTCATCTCTTGCACTTGAGTCCAGACTCTTTTGGATATAAGTGATAAACATGAAACTCAAAAACAATTAGTTAAGGCAATAAGAGGAATTCATTGGCTCATATATCCCTTTGGAGAAGTGGATACAGCTGGGTTTCAGGAACCAGACATTCAAACACTGGCTAAACTCCATATTTCTATCTTTAAATTTGTTTCTCTTCATGGGTCAGTCCAGTGTTTCAGATCTGTTCTTTCTAAGAGTCTTGAACCATCATCCCAATAGTTCCTTGGTCACATCTTCCCAGCTAAACAACTAAAATAAGGATCCTTTTGTTTTGTGATATTGGCACACTTGCCATAGACTGCTGGGGACTCTCACTCTCAGGTCCCCTTAATCTGGTGGGTGTCATCCAGAATGTACCACTAGGACACCTTTTCTTTGATAGTCTGACTCCAAATAATCAAAATTAGAGTCTCCTCTGCATGTTAGCTTGGTAGCCCCTTCTTGGTCTAGATTTCCTGTTAAAAAGGTTTGTCCTCCCCATCTGACACATGTAAGAGGGTAGCTCTGACTTGAAGCATCATCAGCATATACTAAAACAATAAAAGCATCCCTATAACTATAGGTATGTACTGAGATAGGAGGAGAGCAGAGAAGTACGTTTTTTCATTAATTTCTTCCAACCCACTCCAAATTTTGTGAGACTATTCTTTTAAAAGGAAAACTATTAAAGAAAACTCAAACCGTTAGCTATAAACTAACTGAGGCCCAAGGGAACTGGCAAGAACATAGGAATCACAGTGTGGTTTAGGGGAGCAGGTTTGTTTCAAGATAACAAGAGTGGTTGGATTTTAAGAATTTCTCCATAATTCATATATACAGAATGAGGACAAAGTAGGAAGCCAGAAAGGGATGATTTACTACAAATTTATCATAACTTACGAAATAAGTAGATTCATGCAAAAGATGATGGTAGAAGGCTTCCAGTTAAGAATCACTTAAGCCAGCCTTACATTCCTGTCCTAAATAACAGAAAAAAACAGCAAAGACTACAAAAGAAAATCCCAAACCACAAACTAGAAATAACAGTTGCCAAATGCAGTGAAATCTAGACAATTCTATTTTAAATTGTACCCTACTTATCCCCTACCATCCTGATTCCTCTTTTCTGTTTCCTGCTTCCCAGGCATTTATGATCTTTAACCATATTATATACTTTATGCCAAGTTATAACAGTTATGTATTATTGTCTGCTGCCCCTCCCCCTTCCCATCGATAATATATATATATATAAATTCTATCAAGGGCAGGTGTTTTTGCTCACTGATGTAATTCAAAGTCTTACAATAGTGCCTGGAAATGGTGACCAGTGACCACTCACTAAATATTTCTTGAATGAATGAAGATGTCTCTGCAGACCCTAGAAGTACAGTTGGTGCAATGAGATTACCAACTGGTAATCCCTGATCTCGGAGTAGATGGTTTGCCAGAATTTCCTCAAGTCCCATTGATGCTGGGCGGTAGTAACAAATTTCAGGCTTAAGGAAGATTGGCAGCTGTGTCATCTCATGAGAAGCAAACTGCTGAGTGGCAGTGTAGAGGATAAATGTTGGCAGAAAGTCAGTTTACAGAGGAAGAAGCACAAAATCACCACATGAACAATCTGTGATACTGGCTTCACCAAGATCCATGAATGACTCCTGAAAGCCGAGCCAAAGGAGAAAGGCCCCAGAGCAGAAAGTCAGAGGGAGAACATTTCAGGACATCAGATCTAAACTCTGGCTGCCAGCTGGATCAACTCACCCAAGCAGCTCATCAAGAAAGACTGGCTGTCATGAAAAGATGAACAATAATCATAAAGAAACTAGCTGGGAACCGTGAGAAAAATACTGAAAGATGAAAATGGAGGAACTCACTATAATGAGAATAAAAGAGTGATTTTGCATAGTAGGAGAAAATATTAAATATTTCCCTTGAAATCAAATAAATTAAAAAAGATAAGTTAAAGGAAATGTGACTTTTTCCACCAGGAGTTCAGAGAACCAAGGATATAAAGGAGATAGGAAAAATGCTAAGAGAAAAAAATGAGCTGGAAAAGCTCAAGAGAAAAAAATTAAAGGGGAGACTGAAGCCATTATAGAATGATAGCCATATTAGAAGCAGTAAAAAAAGAAGCAGTACTAACAGTACAATCGAGGATATAAATATGTTTCAGAATATTAAGAAAAATAAAGTAGAAAATTAAGAGTTTAAAGGGATTAGAGAGAAAATAATAGGGAGATAAAAAGGATTTTACTTATACATAACTGGTGTCCTTGACTAACAGTAGAGAACACATAAAAAGCTCAGACATAAATCAAGAAAACTTCTCTAAAATACATACAATACAGGAATATTCAGAACTGTTGTATGACTGTGTAACAAATGATCCCCAAATCTAGTGCTGTCAGTCCGTTACTACGCTCACAAACTATGTGGTCATGAGTGTGGCCTGGACGCCTGGTGGGCGTGGCTCCGCTCCGCAGTGTCTAGGGCTCAAGAAAAGGATGCTTTGCTCTAGATTCAGAAGTCACGGACATCACCTCCACTGCATTCTGCTTAAGGCAGTCACAGTCCCAGGTTCAAGGGGAGGGAAAGTAGACGCTACCCCTTGGTGGGAGGAGCAGTGTTCTGGAAGAACATTTGAGACAGAAAGTATTGCTATTGCCAGTTTTGGGAAACAATCTCTCACAAAAATAAAGTAAGAAACGAAGCTAACAGTCAAAACAGGTGAAGGAAAACAGCATTAGACTCATAGACACTGAGAAGTGACTAGTGGTTACCAAGGAGGAGGAGAGTGGGCAGGAGCAGAGCGGAGGGGGGTACTGTTGAACCACTGTGATGTACATTTGATAAAATTTTTTTTAATGTAAAAAAAAAATAGAGGTGTAAGAAACAAAATGCGATGTCATTAAATTTGAAAATTAAAATGAAGAAGATAATTTACTAGAATATAATTTAGTGAAATTGACTTAAAAAGAAATAGGAAAAGTGGAGTAAATCAGTAACCATTAAATAAATCTGAAATCAAAAGTCTTTCCTTTTAAAAGACACTGAGCCAGAATATTGTAGATAAGTTTGGTCAACTTTCAAGGAATAGATAATCCGTACTTTACTCAAACTAATTCTAAGAATAGAAAAAATAATTACTCAACTATTTCGTAAGGCTGGTACAAAATTTATATCAAGGACAAAACGAAATATATAATATAATAAAATTATTGAAAAAAATCTTTAATAAAATGTTACCAAGTTAACTTTTGCTGCATATGAGAAGATACATGCATGTTCAAATAGGATTTATCTCTAGAATCCAAGGATGGTATAAATAAAATCCATGTTGGCAGGTTACCAACAGATTAAAAATTTTATGAATATCTCATAATTGAAGAAACGCATATGATAAAAATGCAACACTCATTTATAATTTTAAAAGATTCTTATTTTCATAATTTATGAAGAGGACCGACCACCAACCGCAGCAAATGTTATTCTTAACGGTGAAATTTTAGAAATATTCTGAAGGAAGGGAAAAAGTTGGTGCTTACTATCACTGCTTTTTCTCATCATTTCATTACTTATAAGAATTGTAAAGAAAGGGACAAAACAGAATGCAAATGTCTTACTGTAACCCTGGAGAGTGACTACTGCGGGTCAGTCTGGAGGGCGAGCGGTGGTTAAAGGTCTCAATGCCCAGGTCCTCGCCGTTCAGGGTGAGATGTCCGCTGCAGCTGCGTAGGATTTAAACATGTAGTTAAACAGGAAAATAACCCAACACCCCTAACTTCATAATGTTTTTTATGACTACTTTTTTTTTTAAGGTTAGGGGGTTCTTTTAAGGAATACTTTTTGTAATAGAGAAGCATCTGTCTTGATATTCAGCGATTTCTTTGCCTTTATTCATTTTCAGTTTCCTATTTGAGACTTTTTAAAATTAAAAAATTACACACGGGCTTCCATTTCTGACCATGATAAAGTAACCCCCTCTTGCTGTAAACAGCTAAAAAACTGGCCAAAAAATAAGGAGCAGCTATTTTCCAGTATGAACAGTAGGCATTGCCAGGCTGTAATCTTCAAGGGAAGGGACAGTGAGGTGAAATGTTCATTCACTCCAGCTTTCTCCAGTGGAGAATGTTCCCCAGGAAAGCGGGTCTCAAGGTACCAGTGAGCTGCTGAGGTTGCTGCGATGTGGATGCGAGAGACAGAGAGAAGCGAGCCGTGCAGAGGATCTCCAGAAATATTTATCCACCTCATGAGACTTTTGAATATTAATCTGAATTGACACAGCCCATTAGAATGGATGCAGAATGGCTTCTGTGTGTTTGTGAGCTAAATGGAGATCTCTGAAGTCACAGAGTGCTGGGAAACACTGGAGTTATAACCTGCCAGGTTATAACTACCAAGGAAGATTCAGTTCAGACCTCAGAAAGGCATGACTTAATAGTAGAGGGACACAAGCCCTAGAGTGGGTGACTGTGGACCTGCCCTAACAGAATACAGAAGAAGAAACCTGATCTGTCAGTAAATCAACTGCCCTACACAACCAAACTCAACATTTATAAATGAAAATGATTGATACGTGTTTTGTTTCATTGCTTCTCTTTTCTTTTCTCCCTTCCTCCCTTCCTTTCTTTGTCCTTTCTTCCTCTCAATTTTCTCTTTTTGTAAAAT